ATAAAAATAAATAAATTTTAATTATTAAAAGTAAAAAGACGAATGATTAAAATTTTATGTGAGTATAGGATGTAAAACTTATGTATAAATTGATTTCTTTATAAAATGAATAAATTCAATTAACAAATCAGAGTAGATGAGATTGTACCCGACAATGATTAATTGATGCAGCCAAATGCAAAACTGTGTTTCCTGTCCGGTCCTTCTTGTTCAAAACTTCTTCTTCCCAAATATCTCCATCTTTGTGGGTGGTTTTTTGCAACCAACGGATAAGGAGCTCAAGGGCATCGAAGTTGTTAAATATGGCTGCAATATGCAGAGCAGTCTGGCCTTGAATGGTCACATCTGTGATGCATTCAGGGCAAGCGTCGAGAAATTCGGCCACAAGATCCAAGTTTCCTTTTTCAACTGCTAGATGCAGAGGTGTTAAACCACCCTTCCCTTTGACACGAACCAAATCTTTGTCAACTTTCAGAAGCTCACTGGCTACCAGAATTTTGTCATTTTGGAGGGCAAGATGCATTGGGCTAAACCCAGATGGGTTTAGTTTCCTTAAAAATGATGGCTTCAAGTTCACTATTTCCATAGCAAAATCAATGTGCCCTCCAGAGGCTGCTCTATGTAAGGGAGTGTCAACAAAAGGAAACTCATCAATGCGTTTCAAAACATATGGATTCTGTTGAATCAGTTCATACAAGTCATTGACATTTCCTGCTTCAGAAACCTCCCTCATTCTCTCGTCCATGGTGATTGGCAACTGGAAAGAAACAAGTTAAGGATTTGAGCGAAATGATTTAGTTAAATGACGTGTAGGTGGGGTGGATAACGGGATGACAACAGCACATTAATTAGGTAAAAATTGAAAACATAATAATTTAAAGAAAAATTTCATAGTAGTATATATTTTTGTAAGGGTTTGTTCAATTTATACCATTAAAACTCATTAAATATGGTATTTTTAATTAGTTTTACAAAAATTTAATATTAGATTTATATCTTTTTATATATTTTGAGTATAAATATTATATTATATTTTTATATTTTTATATTTTATTTTATTTAAATTTTATATAAAATTTTATACAAAATTCAAATAAAATAAAATATAATATATAAAAATATAATATTTTACATCAAAATTTGTATAAAGTTATGAATTTGATATAAATATTTTTGTAAAATTAATTAAAAATATTCTAATTAATGAGTCTTATTCTCTTCCCTTAGGGCATAGGTTAGACAACCCCATAATTGTTTTGAAATTGAACAATGATAGGTATATTATTTAATTTAAAACATATTATAATACATTTATTAAAAAATTATTTTTTTTTTAAATTTAAATTAAAAATAAAAAAAACTTAAAATTGCAGATTTTAATGACTGAATCAATAAGTATTAGTAAGTGTGTTAAACCGAAAACATACCAATTATTTTCGTTTGCAATTGTGGTGCAACAGGTAAAAAGAAAAAAAAAAAGAGGGATGGTTGAGGAATGATTTCTACCATTGGAATCTTTGACAAATTTTAGTTCTTGAACCCAATGAGATTTTAATTGAAAAAGGCTACTACTAAATTAGATAATCTCATCTTCACACACCCATTTACTTTACCATCTTCATTCTTTATGAGGAATTGATTGGTACATTTTTTTATTTAACATGTTTTTCAACACTTGTTTAATTTAGTTATTAAATTAGAATATAAATATAATTGATTTAGTTTGTTCTTATATATTGTATATATGTTTTATATTTTTAAATTTATTTATTTTTAATTTTAAATTAAAAATTTTAAATTTAAATTTTAAATCAAATAAAAAAAACTTTAAAAAAACTTTAAAAAAAATAAGAGTCATTTTTAACATATA